AGACAGAGCGAGTCCTTGTTGTGATAAGAAGATCAGCTGTGCTGTGAAGGAATGGACAAACGTAAAAAGATGATATATGGATGGATGAAAGATGCCTTTCCAAGCTTGCTTTGGCTTTTTGTTGACCTCATTCATATGCGGTATGGTGCGTGACTGGAAGGGCAAGAAAGCTGCTGATTGCACTACACTACACACTACACGTAGCTCCACAACATTCTACAACTCATCTCCGCATGATCCGATACTTATATTGACATGACCTCATTCTTATGTCGTGGTTACGTCGTTATTATGGCGAAGCAAGCCCATCACTTTTTGAAGTAATCCGGCATTATGAAAAAGAAGGAAATTTATTTGTCATGATTTCGATATAAGTGATGTCACGAGGTGCGTTTTTACACATACAACGGAGAGAGAGAGAAAGAGAGAGAGAGAGAGAGAGAGAGAGAGAGAGAGAGAGAGAGAGAGAGAGAGAGAGAGAGAGAGAGAGAGAGAGAGAGAGAGAGAGTTACTCAAATATGTAAGTTTTGCCATGGAAGAAGTCATCAAGAGACTTGAGGTCGGATTCTGTGTGGAGATGAGAAGGCGGTTGCCATGGCTTTCGATCGATTGGAGATGCGAAGAGTCGATGGCAAGTGAGTAAAAGGAATCAATGAGCTCGAACCTTCAATCGAGGCGGCAAAGCAGCAATGAAGAGAGAGAGAGATGGCGGAGGGTCTTAAAATGATTTTTTTTTTGTCGGTCCTACTCTATCTCTCACTCACGATACACACTCAGACTTGCGCTCCACCTCTTGCAGGGCGTGGGTCTTTTGCCTTCTGAACGCATGAATGCGTAGCAGTGGTCTGCCATGGACGAGCAACGCTGACGATACCTGAATGCTTGCCGCCATGGATGGCCAAATCTAAATCCGAATGCCAACAAATGGCTATTAATTGAGGGGGAGGAGGAGAGAGAGAGAAAAAACGAAGAAGAAGAACGAATTGGGACTGTGGGACTCACAAGTTGGGTTGTTTTGTCATTTTAACCCTCGAGGGAGTGTATGGAGCCAAAATCAGAGTGAAAATAGCGGCCTTCTTTCGAAAATGGGATAATGACACAAACAGTCCCTAAACTTTGGCTCAATGAGCAATTTGATCCCTGAACTTTTAATTTATTCAATGTAATCCCTGAACTTTAGCCCAATGTTCAATATTGTCCTCGAACTTTCAATTTGTTCAGTATGGTCCCTGAACTTTTGGTATATGTTCAATATAACTCCTGAACTTTATAAAAATGTTCAATGTAGTCCTTCCATTAATTTAAGTTCATGGACTATATTGTACATTTTTATATAGTTTAGGGACTAAATTAAACATGTATCAAAAGTTCAGGGACCACATTGAACAAATTGAAAGTTCGGAGATCACATTGAATATTGGGTTAAAGTTCAGGGACTACATTGAACAAATTAAAAGTTCAGGGATAAAATTGCACATTGAGCCAAAGTTTAGGGACTGTTTGTGTCATTTTCCCTTCGAAAAAATACATAAAGGAATAACAACAGCCAGTGAAAACTGAAAACCATAGAAGTTACGATCCCTTGCTCAAATTCCTATTCCGAGTCTGCCTTTTAAGTTTTTAGAGGACTTTGAAGTCCAATTTATATGTGGTCAACAAAGGTGCGGAGGGAAAGCGAAAGGTGTCTGTAGTAAGAACTTACAATGAAATGGAGGATCGGAGGAACCAAACTCAAGCTGAAGAGGCTCCTAAATCAAAAGCTAAAAGAAAAGCATGAGAACCAAATCGAAGAGATGATGCAGGACTACTTCATATCCCTAGTCTAGATAGACTTTTAAAGCTCCGACGTAAAGTCAAGAATTAGCTGCTACTCGGCTGGCGATACTAGTTTGTCGGTGCCTTCTTTTTGCGCGCTAACACACCCTATAATTTTCAAAGTAGAAATTGATGAGAAGATAAATTGCCTTAATAGTGGGTCCAAACTTAAGCACACATGTTAGGTGTCACTTCTAATTTGTAGGGACCGAGCAGCCCCCGCCGCAAAGAGAGACGCCACCGTCCACGGAGGCCGAGCCTTCCACGTGCACCGTCAGCCACCGCCCACGGCTCGGCCATGCTTCGATCCATTGGGCCAGGAAAAGGCCAGTCCTCGGTGGGTTTGGGCCATCACCTTTTGACCAGTCAAGAAGAAGACCATGAGGAGAAAAGATCTATTTCTTTTTTATCAATTTGTCATTTATTTAATACAATTTTTTGCACTTTTTTTCACTTTATTTCTTGAGCTATCTTTTTCTCATAAAAAAAACTATATATATTTTATTTTTAAGCAATCATTTATCAGAATACAGTTTCTTTTTCACCTTAAATTAATCTCAATGAACCCTTTCAGATATTTGTAATCAAATTCAAGTATAACAAAAATTGTCACGTGTTTCTCATGTCTTAGATAAAAGATCCTGCCGACATTATTATCAGAAGTTACTTTGTTTCTCCCCATCAATCCGATTATAAGGCTTAAATTTTTTTTTCTCATTTTGATATTTTTTTTATAAGTTAATCCTGAAAAAATTTCTTATGATCAAACTCGGGTATGATTAATATGTTGTTCCTTTCTCGTGCCTTAGATATTAAAAAAAAAAATGTTGCATCTTGCAACCCCAGAAGGAACTCTCCTGCTTAGTGCAGAAATCAATCATTCCTCTTTTGTGTGGCCTTTTCTATGATCGCTTGATCTCCAAGATTGCAACCTCTCAGAACTGAGCTTCCTCGAGACCCCAGACTGCCTTTTCCCCATTGTCCATCTTGAAACTTTCTGGGAACAACTTTACTTGCCCCCCTGCATGCATGAAAGGAATCATTAACTTGAATGTACAGGAGTTGGTTAACTGCAAGGCACTCAAAAAAATCCACGAGCTTCCGTCGAGTATAGGGCGAGTAAACGCCAGGTACTCTGATCTTTTGGCTGAGAATCCTGGGAATGGTGTAGCAGATATTGTACTAACTCAGGTTCATCTCTCTCTGGTTCTGAATATATACAAGACTCTTCCGATGCGCCTTTTCAATTGCCATGTGACAGAGACTACATGGGAATTCGGAAACAAGGGTGACAGTTCCTGGAAGCAGGGTTCCAGATTGGTTCAACTACCAGTAAGGGGGTAGTTCAATATCTTTCCAGGCGCCCTGCAATTCGTGTGATAAAACCATAGCACTCCTCTCTGGTGTTATTGGGTCAAGCACGCAAGAAATTATCTTGTGAAGTGAAAGTCATCGTCAAAGGTAAAACAATATGGTTCTCCTCTTATCAGTTCAGTTCAGTGGGATTAGATCACTTGTGGCTGCAATGCATTTCCCTAAACTCAGTTCAGGGAAAGCGTATCATTGGGGAGATGATCAACCATTTGAATTGTGTGGAGATACAATATAGAAGTCCATCCAGATCAAGGTGACATGATAACGTTTTCTTTGACAGTAGAGATGAGGTAACTGAAGCTTTCACCAGAACATATATGAGATAGTGCGTTGCGCACGTGATATGTTCTGGTTATGGAAATTGTGGTGATCTTTCGGTAAAACAATACTGCAACTGTCCAAAGACACAGACAGACCAATGGATCTTAGAAAAGATATCCAGAGAGACATTCAGCGAAAACTCTGGATATAATGATACACAGTGTTTTCAGTGGAGGAGGGCCTGCAGTGTATCTAGCATAATGCATATGATGCAGAGAACATGCCCAAAAAGGTTCATTTAATCATCCAAACTCAGAGCACAGAAGGATGAGCATAGGCAAGAAGAGGGTGAAGAGGATGTGCTGTGGCTTACTGGCGAAAGGATGGGGTCAACTTGGAGTTGGCCTTGGGTTCAAGTGTAGATTTCTTATTCCGCAGAGATGCAGGAGGCCAAGAAAGGGAAATGTTCCATGAGTTTATATCCTTAGTTTTGGCTGGAGCTGAAGCTTGGAACATGTCTAGTGATTAAAACTCCTTATGATAAGTGGTGTATGGAAAGTAACATGCTTGTGGAGATGCCCTATTCTTGGGATTGGAATCGCGTTTTGATTTTATTCTTTTCTCATTTTGCTTTATTACTTCCCAGTCCGCTTTTATTTTATAAGGCACTTTTTCGGATAAATAATTTCTGCATGTATGTGGGAACTGCATGTTTCCTAGCTGCAGCCTTTGGTAGTTGTGTTTCAGCTCGAGTGGTCTCAGCATCCATGCTTCAGGCGTGAGATATGATCACAGTTAGGCTTACTATGCAACAACTTCTAGTTTGTGCTTCTAATTATTTGATGTATCCGATGGCTAATTATGGATCTTCCTCTTTGTTTCACTTGCAGATCAACCATTGTTCATGTGATTTACCTTTGAGTAATTCACGTGCATAAAACTCGCACCTCTCAGTTGGGACTAATGTCTGCTCATCCTTGCAAAAAAGTAGTCTGTCCGATAACTGCCACTATTGGGCTCGTTGCATTTTCAGATTTTTTTTTTTGCCAGTAGTATATAAGATTTAGAACATAGATGGTCCCATTGGTTCATGTACTCAACCATCATTTAGTCTGTTGATGATGGTTGAGTACTGGGACAATCATTTTGCAAAAGCTTCTTGATCAATGAAGCTTTGCATCTCTCCAGCTTTGTTTAAAACTTCTGCCTGCTTGCCGTAAATCAACATTTAAAAAGTAGTTCCATTTACTCTGGTTTGTACTAAAAATGCCCTTGGGCTTGAATGGTCCATCAACAGACTTTGACATCGAAACAATTTCGGTACAAATTTTGAACTCTCTTCCGTTTATCAGGTATAGTAGCTGAAAGTTATTTTTCAGATATCTTAGTTCTCATTGTCACCAGAGAGTAATCCGTGGTTACTGATTCTATTGTGGCCTGGGAGGTTGCTGGGGTCTTTCATGTGAAGAGGTCTAGCGGATATTATGATTAGCTTTTGACTAGTACAAAGAGACTCTACCTAGAGTAGTTGTGAGTGATGATTGCACATGGAGAGCTAAAAGCATGGACTCCTTTGGGTCATTTGAAATTGCAAGCACCAGCAATACAAAATCCAAAGTCTACCTGCAGAGCATATTCCTCTGCTTTGCCAACCACTAGACACACATTTCACTACCTACAAAGAGTTTTTCCTACTTCAACTAACTTCACAAGTTTTTGGGCACCAAAACAACGGAAGACACTATACCAACTTCACAAGGCGGTTTTCACTTCTTTGGCCGCAGAAAGGGCTTTCTCGAGATTCTTGAAGGCTTTCTCATATCTGAGAAACCCCATGAACCAAAACTCGTAATCATCTTCGGTTACAATCTGCACGTACTTCTGCGCTGGCTTGTCCACATTCTCGCTCTCATTGACTGATTTGATTTTCTTTGTCGGTATTGAAACCTGTTGAGGAGTCGTAAGAAATCATTTAGCAAAACTCTTGGTTCCCTGAACACTCTTGCACTGATCAATCCATTACAGAATTTGACATGGAAAAAAGTTCACCTTGTAAGGTGCTTTGACTAGTTCTCCTGTAGGGGAAGGGAAATCGATGGATCTGTCACTGCAGAAGGCAACTTTCTCAGTGGAGATGAAGAGAAGTCCTGCTATTGGACCAGACGATGTGGATAAATAGCACTGTGAGGCCTTCAAGAACTTCTCCTTCTCACTCATGCCGAAAATATGCTTGAAAATGTTCTCCCTCCCGCCCTCTTGGATCACTTTGGCTCCCAAACTCAGCTTCCACTTCACGGTTTCGGACAGCTTAGCCCCGAGCTTCACTGCAAATTTTCCACATGAACTCTTCAAGATTTCAAATTTCTCACCCACAAATCACCTCAATGACTTCTTTTTGAACTACCTACTCATTACGATAAGACTAAGACAATCAAATGCCAAGAGAGGATGATACATGGAGTGGGCTTCGCAATCCACACGATTCCTTTTTGCATTATGATTAGCGCGGTTTGTCCCGATAATTATATTTTCCTTTTCCCGTGACATGAAACTTGAAGGAAAACCACAGTTTCAAGATGGTTACTCACCATGGTCTATTACTCTGTATGCGAAGCTGCTGTGTTTTCTCCCCAACTGCTTGGCGGTTCCCTTCTTGGAGTCCTCTTCATCTGCAACTGGAGAAAATTTGTCACATAAGTCCCAAAGCAACAAAAATCAATCTTCCAATTGGGCAAACCATTTTGTTTCAGGACGCAAGTTGAGTATCAAAAATCAGTCTCCCAAGTGACCTGCTGGTTCAGACAATCTATCAAGATAAGTACACACACGACAGGAATTGCTGAAAGCAGCATGAATAGGGCAAGCTAGCTAAGCACAACCAATCTGATATGAACACACAAAACTATCTCAGAACCGACCCATTTGACCTTTCTTTCTCCCTTTTCCCCATGAACTAATTCTGCACCATTTCTGCCAAAATTTGAGATGAGTTCACCACGATCTGGAACACATGGATTTGTACAGGTCCCCAGAGAGAGAGAGAGAGAGAGAGACAGAGAGAGTGAGAGAGAGAGCATACTGGCGTGGAAGGAAGAACTGGGAGAGCCATCCGACGAAGAAGGGCTCTGGGTTGAGCTGAGATGGTCAGAGAGAGAGAAGGGTCTCTCTGGAGTGGTCTCGCACGACTTCTTCAATGGACTCCCAGCAAAACGATCTCTGTACTGGTCCTTCATGTCTGCAATTGCTTCTCCACTTGGTCTTCCTCAGACACACAAGCACCCACACAATCTTCTTGGTGTTTCTCAGAGAGAGAGAGAGAGGGAGATGTCTCTTCTGGGGATGAGTACAGGAAGAGATGCAAAGCTTCCAAGCAAAGACAACTGCAGACAACGTTTAAATAAGAAAATGCCGGTGGCAAAAAATTCAACTCCCTTTCTTGTTCTCACTCTCTGTGTGCATATGACTGTAACCGCGTGCTACACGGAGGAGAGGAAGCTCCTAGGAAGTTAGGGTGTTTCTAAGCAAGATCAGGAGACGGATCCACCCTCAACCACCGTCGGATCAAACGGGCCAAAGAAATCCCCACCGTTCGCCGTTAAACCTTTAAAAATTTTCCGCATCATGACATCTTATATCAAAATGAAAGTTACAAATAAAAAATGCAAATAATGATAATCCGTTACTATCTGAAGATCCGTCTCTCGGTAGACGATAGCACCGTCTCCACTACGAACATTATTATGGTTCAGCTATCTCAGCAGTTTCTCATCATCTTCTTCCCGAAGCTCTTGAGAAAGAGTGACACCTTTTTCCATTTTTTTATGGTCGTTTTCCCCTCACCTCACCCTCATCCTCACAACCGTGTTCGATCAAAGTCAAGGAAGGGTGGCCATTCAAACGTGGGTGGGGGACCGGGGGGACAAAAATCCAGCGAGGGATCCCCGTCACCGTCACAGCCGGTGTTGTTCACGAAACCGGAAGAATTTAACTGGGGCGGTCGCGCACCCGATTTGTGTGGACATCAGCACATGTCCGAGGATTGCTTATCCTCCACGACCCCCCCGCCGACGACGGGCCACGGCGGGGTCACGATGGTGTCAATACGCACCGACATTCGACCAAAAAAGAAAAGAAGTATGCACCAACATGTTGCGGTTCTTGCGGATAGTGGGGGACTGGGGCGGTGTCATTGACAGGAGACCAGTATGGGACTCTTGAGAACAGCCAGTTTAGTACAGGGTCCAAGTCTTCACATGTGCCTGCATGTGCAGTAGCACTAGATATATCCTCTCACACGGTTGCAAAATTCCTTATTAGGAAAATTAGAAAAACCCAAGTGATGGGCCTTATAAACATGTATTTATCCCTACGGATTCGCCTTGTCAACATGAAAAATAAGTTATACATTCGCCGCCGTTAGATGATTGACATGTGAAATAGCTCAATTATAAAATTAACTCTAAATGCAAGTGTTGCCTATCAAACAATAAATGTATAAGAATGCTTTTATATTGGCGGTGGACCTAAAGATAGTTCTCACCTAATCCCAGAGAAAAGTACACATGAAAGAGGACTATACCAAAAGGGCTCGCAATAGGGCATGATTTCGGAACCTATTAGAACTTATAAATATCTTATTCTTAATTTTTTTTTATATTTTTATCTCGTAAAATTACACAAGATCTCGTCAGTATTGGTCTCGCCCTTCGCCACAAATCGCCAGCCAATCATGTATTTTAATTTAATTGGTCAACACTACATTATCAGCCTAGTCATGGCCTAGAAAAATAATCATTTCTACAAATTTTTTTGTGTTTGGTGCATACAGACGGAAGTGGATTAGGTATCATGTCAATTCAATGCCCTTAATTGTAGGGCAGGGTAGGTTAGGAGTTGGTGCTCCGTGAATGGGCCCCTCATTTGCATGTCTAGGGCCTCAACCAATATCCATGATCCAAGCCCAATATCGTCTTTGCACGAAGAAAGGCCAGGCCCAATTGGTGGGGATGTCCAGTGGGCTTTTCGTGGGCCTAAAGAATAATCAAAAGCGCTCACTTTCTTGATAAAAAAGAGGACTCGATCACATGTATTTTCCATAGGTTTTTGGCAGAGAGGTTCATAGACATGACATGACCAATGAAAGAAATTCATGCATCTTAATCTTAATTTCGACCAACGTTACTTCATCAACGAGGTGATATCAGTACAATGAGATATTCGATGGGAAAACTTGTTTAAAAAGTCATAAACCTATTGTACGGAAGCCAATTCAATTTTAAACATTTCAATTGTGTCAATATAGTCCTACACATTTTGACAATTTGCCTATGTAGTCATTTCGACCAAATATATAAATAATAGGTTTTATGACTAAATTGGTACAGTTGAAAATTTTATAACTAAATTGGGAAATTTTTAAAGGTTTAGGACCGAATCAACACAATTGAAATGTTTAGGACTAAACTAGCAAATCATCAAAAGGTTTAGACTAAAATGACACAATATGAAGGTTTATGACTGAATTGACTTTCGTATAATAGGTTTATGACTTTTTGGACAATTGTCCTTATATTCGGTTGTTCTCGAACTTTTTCATCTTGACTGCATCTTGCATGAGGAACTTTCGAACGAATCGGGGGTCCAAGGACTGAATTGACCATAGGTCTATGACTTTTTGGATAATTGTTCTAATATTCAATTGTTCTCAAACTTTTTCATCCTGACCGCATCGCGCATGAGGAACTTCAGAACCAACTAATCATGGGTCGAAGATAATTTCGTATTTCGCAAATCCATTTCAAGAAGGATGCTTTAGGCGAATCCGACAGTGCTAATCCAAGTGACTTCTTCATTGGGACGTCGTGACAAAACACACGCAAGAGATATGCGCTTGTGATCTCATGTTCGATCTCCGTGTTCTCTCTGTCCGTGTATGTACACCTCAACGCACTTCGATGTCCACAGCGGTGGACATCGCTCGTTGTCGTGACCATTAGTAGCCTTTCTCTGTCCCTTCGACGAATCCTACGCTCACACGCTTCACATCGAACCCCACCTTCTCCCTGTCGCTTCCGTCTCCCCCACTGACCCACTTGCTAAGGTTTCCTCCTCCATCGCCATTCGCCAGCACCCAGAAAGGAACCGAGGAGAAGGGGACGAAAAAAAGCAGAGGCCAGAGCCAAAAGCGACTGAGAGTGGAACGGAAAGATCTCGCATGATAATCGATGGTCGATGCTCCCTCGAGTCGCACTGATGGCCTGACGGAGAATTTGAAGGAGGGTGTTGTGCGCGAGTGTCTGTAATTGAAGCGGCTTCGTCTTTTTTCTTCTTCTTCCGAGAGCCCGCCTCATGGTTAGCTCGCGCTCTCTCTCTCTCTCTCTCTCTCTGCAGAATCTATTGCGTATTGACTGACTGACTGTTTCTTGGACTCTTTTAGATGTGAATGCGGAGATAAATTAATCTTCTTGAGACCAACCTTCGCTTCGTCCCGATCCTCGTTGCTGGTTTTGTTCTTTTTAATGTGTACATGATTATGTTATTAGCTTAGTCCTTGTACAGACAATCCGTCGCCTCTGTTTAGGATCGTAGATCATTTACTGCCTGGCATTGACTGGACAGTATCTTGATTTCAATGGCATCTAAATTTGGAACGTGAGTGGTGATTGGAAAAAATACAGCGGTAGTGATCGTACCGAAAATCTGAGCCTCACACCTAAATTTGGGGCAATCTCTTCTTTTAGCAAATGCAAGAAATGGGCTCCACCCATTTAAAAATTTTTGTTTCTCTGTTTTCCAGTCCCTTTAGTCTAATTTAGTCAATGGGCTCGTTATCTCTAAGACGAACGATTGGCAAGCAGATACTCCTTTTGGAGATAGTGTTGATTTAAAGATCTTCTGTATTGATTTCTGGGTAAGTGTTGGGTCATGGTTTAATTGCTTCTTTCTGTTCTGCTTGTGGGTGAAATCTGGTTTCCAGAATCGCGGGGAATGTCATTCGTTTCGCTCTCTTAAGTGAAAGATAAATTTTTATGGGTTTGTGGAGCTGAGTTTTCTTCTTTTCTTTAGATAAAATGAAAAAATTTGTATGGTTATACCAATGGAACCAGTGAATTTGATCCTGGTGTAATTGTGCATCATAAACTTAACTAGATGTGTTGGGCGGAGTGAAACAATTTACTTGATGGTCTCTGCTTGACAGCTTTGTAGTTTCTGTTAGAAACTTGGCATCTGAAGGTAATGGCTTTTCCTTTCATGTGAGATTTTAGATGAACATTTTTTCCTGCATTTGTATAGTATGTCTCAGCATGTTTAACATGTTAGCATGAAGCGCAAATGAGTTTCGGAGGACAAGACCGTCACTTTTGTTTTTCTGATGACATTTTGGTTTACCATCTGTTTGGCTGGTCATTTTTATGTTAAAACTCACGTCTGCATGTGATTCGTTCACATGTCATTAATGAATGGATTATCTTGATTATAATATCTCTTACCTTTTAAAGGAGGAATGAAGACTAGCATTTAATCGGTTGCTTCTATCCTTCCTTCCATCGATATGCCAAACCTTAGAGATTGGACAGAGAAAGCTTTTGTGTTGTAGAAATAACGGTTAAATGATTGTTCTGTTATGCCTCTTTCTAATTGTGCCACCACCGGTGATCTCATTGTCCACAGTCTGCAGCTATTGCGTAATTAAATAAATTAATTACCTCACTAAAATCCTTGTTCATAGGATGTTGCTCGTATCTTCCTTACAAAAGTTTCTACTTGTGGAATTCAGCATGTATATGGATAGAATAGACTTCCTCCAGGCAAAGAATTTGTCTTCTTCTGCTAGATATCTTAATGCCTCTTAATGTTGTAAGTTTGTATGTTTGAGAACTAGGGTGTTCAAGTGAAGCATCATCAGAGGCTTTCATAATTTCCTGGAATCATCATTTTAATTGCTAGTGGCTTCTACAGGATCAAGAAAAGATGCATGGCGTTCTTCAAAAGTCCCATAGCGATGTTCAGCCTGTCTCTGACAGTGGGAATACTTCCTTGCTGATGAAATCTTCATTTTGGAATAATTTCAGAAATTCAGAGGTCATCCATTAACTCAAGCTAAATAATTTTGTGGAACTTTTGCTTGATGAACATTTTCGCTGATTTGTTTCTCACATCTGTCCTCCACATCAGGACCAGGCACGATCTGTTCTTTGGGGGATCTCCAATCAAAGGTAAGGAGCCACTTTCAGTTCATCACTGTTTTCTCTTGGACCATTAAGAGCGCGGAAAGAACATAATTTGATGCAATTGTTGTAGTTAAGACAATTAAGCTGTTGCACCATTTGTTGTCTACTGTTTAAATCTTAAACGACTCTTCATTTCATTATATTCAGTTTTTCTTTCCTTCATGTTGCGAATTTGCGAGTGATCAATTCCTATCTGAGTTTGTCAGGTGTACTGTGTTGACCTTCCTTACCCTTGAATCTGATGGAACTTGGAGAGTTGTCACTGTACCTCTTCAATATCCTGAACAGAGAGGCCTCCTGCTTTATGGTGCTCACATAAACGTGGATAGTCTGCACCCAATATTTAGCCAAGCTATTAATGCATCTAATAATAATCGACGAAAAGCACAGAAAGGGCCTCCAGGTGGTGGGTCTCTCTTAATGCACTCGAGTACAGTGAGAAAGTCTATTCAATCAGATGCGAGATGCCAATCTCGTAAAAAGGCTTTGCCAAACAAACCTTTCGCTGAATATTCTGGCTGTAACTATGGTCTGAATTCTTCAACCTCTGATTGTGATCCTCGTTTGCTTCAAGGAGACCCTTGTGCAAATGATTCCACTGTGGAGCTTACGGAAGGAGACAAGGCTGACAAGGCTACAAGCAAAATTTCGAGAAATAAAGCAAGAAGAAAAGGGAAACACAGAAAAAGGCTTCCATTTAATGGTGGTTCGAGGGAATTGGTTTTAGCTGAGGATTATGACCATGGAAGCTCAATATCTAGAACCTATGATGTGAAAAATGAGGTTGATGGTGAAGACACAGCACCATGTCGGACTGCTTCAGAACTTCGGCTCAAAGCTGCTAGAGTCCCAGAAAATTGTGCTGATGACGAAAAGAGTGAAGGCATCGACTGCTCTCAAACACCACAGACGAGCATCTCTAATTCTAATGGAAGAGACACATCTGAGACTGCTGCCGCTCCTCTAGTTCAGAATACTCATGGGGAAAATGCTAGTTTCAACAATGGGCATAAATTCAAAGGTAATGATACAAAATTTTTTGCTTTTGACAATCTGGAAGAGGTAAGCAGTAGGCATAGATGCTGTTGTTAAACTACGATAGACTTTCACACATAAATGGCTCCTTAGATTTGGATGTATCTTTGATCAGCTCAAATGAACAACTGAGTGTACAAGTCCATGTGATTGAATCCGATGAAGTGAGCAGCAACAATTATGATGGAGATTTTCCAGCATTGAGCTACAGAAAGGAATACTCCTCTGACTATGACTTGATAAATGATGCAGGAGATTCTCGTGATCGTTGCGAAGAGATGAGGCAAGAGAATTTGGAGAGCGGTATCATTATGCCACTGGTTGTGCCTTGCTGTGATAATAGGGTGAATAAATTAGAATCAAACAGTTCTAGTGCCTGTAAAATGGGGAGTGTTGGGAATTCACATCAACATGCTGGGAAAGGTAATAGTTATCCTGTTTGGCAGAAGGTACAGCAGAAACATGACCATGAGTGCGTCGATGACCCGAAGAAATGTTCTACCGAGTCAAAAATCGACACTTCCTGGAGAAAGGCTCCGTTGCTTAAACAAAATGGCAAAGTTGCTGAGGGAAATATGGAATTTAGAAATGAAAATAAGCAGCAGCCACATCCTGCATTTTTGCGTAAACTGAAACGAAAAGGTTCTTTAGATTCAAAAATTGAATCTGATGACCATTCTAGGAAGGGATCCTTCACTAACAAGGCCAAGCTCGAAAAATCAAGTGCTTCCACAAAGATCCGGCCATATATGAACAAAACTTCTATGCCATCTCAAGTGAATCAAAATGAAGGGGAGACTGAATCAAAATCTGTCTCTCAGAAACCGCCAAAGACCTTTTACAGTGATGCTCCTATCCTGGACGATGAAGATGCAAAAGATGAGGATAGTTCATTACCAGTATGCTGCACTCAGTCTAACCATGTCAATCATTCTGAGCTTCAATTTTCAGCATCAGTTCCCCGTCTTTTAGCTGATGAAATTTCTCTGCTAGGAAAAGAAGTTTCTGTAGCTGACTGTAGTAAGCAGAAGTGTAGCTCTGGATCTCTTACGCAGAAATGGGTGCCTGTTCGCATGAAGAATCCTCTATCAACAGACCCCATCAGATCCGAAAGTTGTCTGGGTCATTCTCGCGATGCAACTGTTGAAGACGAGACTTTACTATTTTTCAAAGATAAAATAGGCTCAAATGATGAAAATGATATTAAAACAGGAGTTACGTGCAGGTTCGAGGAGTCTAGTAAGGAGAATTATCCTCCCTGTGATGATGAAAGTCAGGTTGAGCCCTTGACAAATGAGAAATCAAGCATGCTTAAAGAGCAGAACCACAAGCTTGTGCCTTGTAGCTTCTCAAGGGGTGAATCAGAAAATCAGAAAACCTCTGTTATTCAAATTCATCTAGACAAGATAACAAGGGCTATACAAGAAGCATATAGGATACAGATGGCATCAGAAGCTGTTCATCTTGTAACAGGTGGACCCATTGCTGAGTTTGAGAGGCTGCTACATTTTTCTTCTCCAGTTCTTTGCCGATCACAGGTTACGGCTGGTTGTAAGACTTGCCCAAGAGACTGGGTTGTTGGCTCGTTACTCTGCCAGCATGAGAGACCCAATGTATCTTTGGAATGGCTGTGGCAGTGGTACAAGAAACATACAAGTTACGGGTTGGAAGTTAGGGGTGAAGATTTCATTAACTCAAATAGAATAGGTGTTGATCGTTTTGCGTTTCGTGCCTACTTTGTTCCTTATTTGTCAGCTGTCCAGCTGTTCAAGAAATGCAGCATCGGATCAGCCTGCAGCATAAATGGGGTTCCCAGATCTGAGTTGGAGCCTAATGAAAGATCTGAAAAATCTATTCTCAGTGGCCTTCCCATGTTCTCATTACTAGTACCTCAGGCTTGTAATGGAGGTGCAGGCAACTTTCTTTGTGCAAACGAGGTGTCTACTTGTCAACCTTCAATTTCTGGAAATAATATGTCCAGTCCTACTGACAATGAGCAGTTTAAGGATTTAGAACTGCTTTTTGAGTATTTTGAGATGGAGCAACCTCAGCATAGGCAGCCTTTATATGATAAGTAAGTTTATTTATTTTGCTGAGCGAGGCATTTAATTTATCCTTTCCAGTATTGGATCAAATGGGCCCTTTTAACTCAGTGGTAAGGTAACACCATGGTAAGGCAGAAGGCATTGGTTGGAAGATCATACAGACCATGGGTTCATAGATAAAGCTGTTTTAACTTATTGCTGACTCCTTTTATTAGAATTAGTTATGGAGTCTTCTTTTCTCGTCAACATACCATTGGGACGTCGAATAATGTCGTCTTGTTGCTTTTGGTCAACTATAAATGTTATGGTTCTTGCAAACATTGTTCAATGTGAAAGATGCACAATTGTTTCATTTTTGCTACTTTTTGTTCTTTTCTTTTTCTTTCCTTTTCCTCGCAAACAGTTAATGTTTGTTGGCTTTATCCGTGTACATGGATGGATGAACTATGATTTTAGTACGAAGAGAACTTCTTGATGTCTGACAGGATAATTTGGATAAAAGTAGTACTATATTTACTGTTAGTGGCACTTAGATTTATTTGTTATAAAAGTATCAGGTCTACTGGTCATATGCCGCTTCATTCTCTTTGGAGCAATAGAACCTGAAACATTGACTACAAAAACTGTGAGCAGGAAAATCGAAATAGTGCATGCCACATTTCTGTGAAGTTTTATGCCTTGGGTTCTTACTTTCTTAGCTTATTTCATGACTCGCAATTGGTTGGCCTTCTTTACTGGAAAATGGTAATGTTTAAATGTTCATTTCAGGATCCAAGAGCTTGTTGGAGGTTGTGGGCCATCTCGTTCCAGAATTTATGGAGATCCTTCAAAACTAATCTCTGCAAATCTATGTGATTTGGACCCAAGATCATGGTTTGTGTCTGTTGAATCAAACCTTGTCTCAAGAGTTTTAAATCTTTTTGTGAGCTGAGTTTAGTTTTAATAAAATTCAACGTTGTCATGATTAAAGCCTGCTTATATCCTTTGCCCTGTCAGGTACTCAGTCGCGTGGTATCCCATCTACAGGATTCCTGATGGTAATTTTCGTGCAGCATTTCTGACGTACCACTCCCTCGGGAATTTGGTTCATAGAGAAGCCGCTTTTGATTCTGTCAATGTGAACCCTTGTGTAGTATCTCCCGTAGTGGGTCTGCAGAGTTACAATTGCCAGGTAAAATAACTAATATATTCCCCTGCTTGCTTCGGTTTCGAATCATGTGTGGATTTGATGCTCAGACAACGCTTTTTGACTCATCCAGAAAATCATAACAAATAGCTTTTAAAACAAAACCGATGGTAGAAAATGTAATGTCCATTTGTCGTAGCTTAACCCAGTGTTTGTTCAGAAGCACGTGTGGATGTGCTGAATTGGGCATCTACTTATTCATGTTCGGGGGGATATACTGGAATATCTCCTCGTCGATTCTGTATGAAGCTAACAGTATTTATAATGGGTTTTGACCATTACATTTCAACTATGCAAATATATCCTGCTAAAAGAAACAGACTGATAGCAGCATTGGTTTAACAACGAGGGCAAGAACTATTGGGCAAATGATGATCCCATGAAATTCAGATCTTGCTTCAAGCATGTTGCGCAAAGCCACGTACCTTATAACCTTCATTTGATCTTCATTTATATGAACAGAGTGAGTGCTGGTTCCAGTTGAAGCCCTCTGCACTAAGCCAGAGAAAGGAAGTCTTGAGCTTAGATCCGTCTAAGATCCTGGAGGAGCGGTTGAGGACGCTCGAGGAGGTAGCTTCGCTGATGGCCACAGCTGCTGTCACTAAAGGAGATTGTAGCACTGTGAATCGACAACCTGATTACGAGTTTTTCCTGTCCAGAAGACGCTAGTGAACTACGCGGGTGTTGCCGTCGGCATTGACAGATGTGAAATCAGGAAATTCAGTTAGGAGAAGAAAATAACACGAAGGATATGATTTACACTTCTTTTTTTCGACTTTCTTAGTCATTGTTGTTATTTTTCTCACTTTCTCTGAATGTATAGATTTTGCCATTTTTGTACGTAGTATCGATGTACATTTTCCCCCCCTTGCTGTAAGAAACGCGTCTTTTTTTGGACTAATGGAGTGTAAGTAGGGCAATCCTAATGTCAAATCAGTACTTTGATTCAAATACAGGTCAAATTCAGCACTCTCTTCATAGACGGTGTTGCATAGTGATTGTATGTGTTCATAGAATTTTTAAAATACATTATGCTTCCAGATCTGTTCCTAAAACTTGCCTTGTGAAAGTTAAAGGCACAAAGTTGATTTGTCTTGATTGACTTCTTTTGTTGAAAGTAAGTGCGCAATCTTCATTCAACTTCCACCTAAATTATAATATGTAGGTTATAACTATCCAAGCGCAGGCTGTACCTCGATACAGGCAGGCCGGGCTTTTCTATGTAAGACTTCAGTCCAAACACATTTATATTCCCTTCAGAACTCATACACCTAGGCAGATCTCGTCATGATCACCTCTAATAATTGACACCCTAATTGTCATTAATATTCGATTTTCTATATACAAGAAGTAAAATTAAGCGCGATTTTTCGTATCGCTCTCCTTAATTTATTTGACACTCGAGTAAAACCCAATTTTGTCATTTCCCCCAAAAATAGGCGAAATGAATGCAAGTATAATGCAACCGAGGTGAAGATAATGACTGTATCATCTATCAACATTGTCTCTATCAATTGTCTGAGGGAAAAGGACTTCCTGAGACTGCCTAATTTGAAAGATACTCGTAGAAAAGCTTCTTCACCACAGAATCTCACTCAAATTTGAGTGCTTACTTTTTTGGATACATGGAGATCTCTTTGAAGCTTCAATGTTTCTTTCGAACCGGTAATCAGATCACTGCATTAATTGAAACGCGGCATCATCGATCAGGCACCCTACAACCTGTAATGCATTTAGATCGGTGAATCCGGCGAATCACATGGGATGTCTATCGGATTTAATGCGGGATTGACCGAGTCTAATGGCTAGGAATGGCTTGGACGAGCAAGAAAGCATGCAAAAATCAAGAAAGTAAACCCAAGTTGGCCAGTAATCCCCACTGCTTGCAAAAGATTCACTTTATAGTTTATAGTTCTCTTGGTGGGTAAAGAATTACCAAAGCATAACCCCGTGGCATCCAACGCTAGTCATCGGAGTTGTCAAAACGAGCCGAAACTATTCCGAAAGGTCAGGCCGACCTGCGATTATCCATATCTCCTCCGAAACGCCTTTCTCAGCCATACTCAGAAAGAAGGCAGAACAAGTTCACCAAGAAGTTTGGAGAATCTTGACGAGTCAAATTCCTACTGCCGAACGAAGATATCTTCTCAAATAAACTTGTCAGATCAAAGGTTAGGTACAGTGGAGAGTTGGAATAGTATCTTCCTAGTCCTTGAAGAGACACTGTGAATATGTTCTAGGGTTTAGCAGTTGTGTATCATGGCTGAATTGTAACTGTGCTGAGAAGTGCGGCTCCTTATCATCTAAATATTATTGTAAGCCGATGTTTCGATGGTGCCGTGACTTATGACGAAAATTATATTATCCTTTTTCATGATCGACATGGTTATCGGTTACTTAATTTATGATTCATGCCCACTTAAGCCGACCACTCACAGTCGGACTTAGTGACTAGGTTCACCTCAGTCCTCGAACTGATATTTGACCGCACTATACTTATTTTAGGTGTTGATATCTATAGATCACCAATATAATGATAAGTTGTTGTTCATCCTAAAGCAAGCACGGGTATATTACTGGAAAATAATCCACGCTTCATCTTCTTTCCAAAAAGAAAATTCTTCTTATTCGTTGTTGCGTGTACACATGCGTGTACTCTTTTGCCAATAGCACGGATGGTGAGACCCTCCAATCATATCGACGTATCTAAAACGCGTAAGAGATTTAAATTTTTATAATAAAAGAGAAATCATTAAGTAACATTCCTCTTACCCAAACAAGCCATTGGATCTTCAGATTCACTTTATTAGAAAATTGAAAAAATAAAATTTAATAATTCCTCATGCCCTTTCCAGTGATGGGCAGCTCTTAAAATAATTTGGTAAAATGCATAATAAAATTAAATAAGTCATTGCATGTTCAAGTCAACTCGGCTTCTCTCTTCCACACTTACACATGAATAGAAAAAAACAAAGGTTAAACATAATGAATGAAAGTCAACTATACTATTAGTATCCTTTTTCTGACCATAGGGTAGCGGATCCTCTCCGCTAATTCCTGGTCAAATGGGAATCGGGTCATTGGGGGCAGATTATCATCCCAATTGCCACGAAGAGTGACGCGAATTTTACGTTTCGATTTCGCAATTGGATGGTGACGTGATCCGATAACCTTGTATTCATAATTTTTCAACAAAAAAAGAAGGAAAAACAATTGAATGCAACTATAATGTTCAACTTTCGACCGTCATTCCACGACATTACAAATCGATTATTATTATGGAAAATCAATATATTCGTGATGAAAATTTTACGATTTATGACATCGCATTAACGCGGATTTATGGAAATTAATATGTCTACGACAAAATTGATTTTTAAATGATATATATTTATCGGGTTAATATTACAAAAAACTCTAAACTAGTACACCTATGACAATTTTATCCCAAACTAATTTTTTGACCATATAAAACCATAAACTGGTACATATGTGATAGATTTATCCTAAACTAATTTTTTTTCTATTAAAAATTCAAAACTGGTACATTTGTGATAAATTTACGTTCCGTTAAATTTGGATTAATATCACGGAAAATCAAAAAATGGTATATCTGTGACAAAGGAAGGGTAAAACGCCAAACTAGTACATCCGTCAACTGTCACGTGTCATCCAACTTAGAAATTTGATGGTAAAATTTTACGGAAACTAACAGAGAGTAAAATTGTCACGAGTATACAAGTTTGAGATTTTTCTTGATCAAAATATTAGTTTGGAGTAAATTTATCGTAAGTATACTAATTTAGAATTTTTCGTCATATTACCCTGTATGTATATATACCCGTCCAAATTGGCCTGCAATGAAAATCATGTGATTTGGAATGGGGGATGCACGGGGTCCCAAGCGCGATATAGATCGATAGACCCTTTTGGGCCGTGGTGTCCTTTTACTGATTTAATTTTATGAATTTTACAAGGCGTGAACGTCCCTACCACCACCTCATGCTTCCACTATTTTGTCAGTACAATGGGGGGATCATCTTGTCTTCCTTCTTCCTCGAATCGATGATATCTTCACCACCTCATGCGGGTGCGCGAATAATTACGCGATTATTAGGCGCACTTAGCACTTGACATGCTTGCGCGGCCGCGATTTAATTAGCACTAATCCCTTTATATTTTTATTTTATTTCGTAAGGTTATCTTATTAATTTTTATTAGTTGAAAGGTTGTTTTTTGTTTATTAAGTAATTTTCGAAATTACGAAAATTCGGAATTATATATTTATTATTTATTTTATTCCGAATTTTACATGTGTCTTTCCAAGATAACTTTTGGAGATTATACTTGTTCAGTTTTCAATCTTTTTCGAAGGGTTGCATCTATTCAGTTTGTAACTTCTTCCGAAGGAATATCTTTGTTAGCTTTGCAACCTTTCGTGAAGAGTTGCCAATGTTCTTTAAGATCGATTTCTATATATGTTAGTTTTTGGCAAGAAAGAAAACAGAGATCAATTTCTTCAAGTCTTCTTTCGAAAACTACAGCCATCATTTCTTTTGTTTCCTAGAGAGACCCTGGAGAAATACTAGAATTGCTATCTAGTATTCTCATTTTGAGACTTTGTTGTATCCTGGAGGATTTTTGCTGGTGACCATTAGCAACAATTGTGGGGCAAATAAATCCTTAAGGAAAGTGATATCATGCCTCAAAGTCCGACTTGATTGCTCTTTTGATTCGAAGCCATTTTATTTTACAACAATCTTAAGGATTTATTTCTGTTCAACAATGGAGTCGGAGACAATCAAAATCATGAACCAAGACATGGTCAAACTGGATCGGTTCGATGGGAACAACTATGCTCGCTGGAAGGACAAGATGATGTTCCTTCTCACTACCCTGAAGATATCCTACATTATGGATCCAAAATTGGCGCCTATTGAAGATCCGAAGCCTACTACTGAGGGAGGACAGCCAAGTGCGGAAGCTGTTGAAAGGATTAACAAGGAAAAGAGGAAACGTGAGGAGGACAAATTGCTATGTCGTGGACACATTCTGAATACACTGTCTGATAGATTGTATGAATTATTCACTGAGATGAAGTCAGCCAGAGAAATTTGAAACGCACTGGAATTCAAGTACAAAGCGGAGGAGCAAGGTACCAATAAGTATTTAATCGCAAAGTATTTCGATTTCAAGTTTATTGATACTAAGCCCTTGATGGAACAAGTCCACGAATTACAAGTGCTCGTCAACAAAATTCGTGCCCTCAAAATTGAAATTCCAGAAACCTTTCAAGTTGGAGCAATTATTGCAAAATTGCCTTCAACTTGGAAAGACTACGGAAAAAGGCTGATGCATAAGTCGGAGGACTTCACCTTGGAGCAAATACAGAAACATCTTCGTATTGAGGAAGAGTCACGTACACGTGATAATTCTGTTTTGTATAATTCCAAGGTAAATGCTGTGGAGAGAAAAAGAAAATTCGGCCAGAACTTTAAAGTAAAGAACGGGCATACATTTAAGAAGACACACAAGAAGAAGAAGGGTTGTTGTTTTGTTTGTGGCAACAGGGACATTATGCCAAGGACTGCATTCACCGCAAGAGCATATCAAAAGACAAGAACATTCCAACGGTGAAGACAGATGCAAATTTGGTTGAAGAGAACTATGTGGCCATGATTTCAACCAAGTTTTCAAATATGAACATTGCTGAAATCAATGGTTCGATGGCTATGATTTCTGAGATCAATTCTGCCACTGTCCAATCCGGTTGGTGGTTAGATTCTGGAGCGACAGTTCATGTGTGCAAGGACAAATATTTGTTCAAGCAATTTGAAGAGACTGTCGACACAAATGCTCAAGAGGTCCTGATGGCGAATAATGCTCTTGCAAAGGTTGCTGGCAAAGGCACGGTGGAGATAGATTTCACTTCTGGAAAGAAGATAACTCTTCTTAATGTGTTGTTTGTACCTGAAATT